AGTGTCTGCGCTGAGGTGTACGGACACTGGAACAAAAAGCAAGACTTCGTTCCTCCCGTCTACGAAAAGACTCCCGAACAAAAGGAGCGCCTCCTCGTAAGACTTCCACCCAACAACTTAGCTAGCTAGCTAGCTAGCTGGGGGCTAGCCACACCTAGCTAGCTGGGGGCTAGCCACAGCTAGCTAGCTAGCTGCCAGCTATAAACGTACAGCCAGCTAGCTAGGTAGCTAGGTGCTAGCTCCACCCATCCAGCTAGCTAGCTGCAGGCATGAATCCAGCTAGCTAGCTAGCTGCAGGCATGCATCCAGCTAGCTAGCTAGCTGCAGGCATGCATCCAGCTAGCTAGCTAGCTGCAGGCATGCATCCAGCTCGCTAGCTAGCTGCACTCCTCCAGCTAGCCAGCTAGCCAGCTAGCCAGCTAGCCAGCTGCACCCCGCCAGCCAGGGAGCTAGCCAGCTGCAGCCACGCAGCCAGCCCGCAGCCCGCGAGCGAGCCAGCCACCCCGCCCTCCGCAGCCAGCCACAGCTAGCCACAGCTAGCCACAGCTAGCCACAGCTAGCCACAGGCAGCCACAGCTAGCCACAGCTAGCCACAGCTAGCCACAGGCAGCCACAGCTAGCCACAGGCAGCCACAGCCAGCCACAGGCAGCCACAGCTAGCCACAGGCAGCCACAGCTAGCCACAGCTAGCCACAGCTAGCAGCCGCTGCGCGCAGGGCGTGCTGGGGCTGTCGTTCCTGTTCTCCTCGCTGGAGGGCCGCGAGCTGGAGGCCGTGGTGCTCGCCATGCGGGAGAAGACGATCCCCGCGGGGCTGACGCTGCTGCGCCAGGGCGCCGACGGCGACTGCCTCTTCGTCGTGGAGAGCGGCTCCCTCGACTGCTTCCGCGCGCCGGGATCGGGATCGGGATCGGGATCGGGATCGGGATCGGGATCGGGATCGGAGGCGGGCGGGCACGGGCAGCGGGTGAAGGTTGTGGGGCCGGGAGACGTGATCGGGGAGCTGGCGCTGCTGTACAACGCGCCGCGAGCGGCCACCGTCGTGAGCCGGGAAGTTTGCAAACTCTGGAGGCTGGACAGAGACTCTTTCAACTTCATCGTGAAGGGCGCGGCCACGAAGAAGCGCGAGATGTACGCGTCCTTCCTCTCCAAGGCAAGTCAAACCCTAAATTAGGGTTTCGCTCCCGCGCCGCCCTCCGCTCCAACTGCTGCTGCTGCTGCTGCTGCTGCTGCTGCTGCTGCTGCTGCAGGTGACGCTGCTGCAGTCGATGAGCACTTACGACCGGCTGAAGCTGGCGGACGCGCTGCGGACGGAAACTTACGCGGACGGAGAGTTTATAGTTCGCCAGGGAGAAGAAGGAAATACTTTTTATTTAGTTGAAGACGGAAAAGCCAAAGTCTTCCAAACCCCCGAGGCCGGCGGGGCCCGCGTGCACATCGGCAGCTACGAGGTACCCCAAACCCTAAATTAGGGTTTTACGCGCAGCGCAGCCTTTCGCGCCCCGGGGACTCCTTACGGGCACTAGGGCTTGCGGGGGAGAGGCGGAAAGGGACGCTAATGAAAAGGGTTTAGGGTTTGGGCGGGACACGACGGTTTAGGGTTTAGCTCGTCCGCGAAAGCGAAGGGTTTGGGAACCGCCTAGGGTTTGCAGCAGCACTGCACCTTTCGAGAAGGGTCGGCGACTTAGGCCTTGGAGGCGCTGCGCAGGCGACGACGAGGGCCTACGGCTTAGGGTTTAGGGTTTAGGGTTTAGGGTTTGCGCCGCAGAGCGGGGACTACTTCGGAGAACTGGCGCTGCTCACTGGAGAGGCGCGAGCAGCAGATGTTGTCAGCGATGGATTTTGTAGAGTGGCAGCTTTGGAAAGAAAAAGTTTCAAAAGACTTTTGGGATCTGTTGAGGAGATTTTGAGAAAAAGAGCTCTCGATTACAAGAGAAAATAACCCCCCAAAGGGTTTAGGCTTTCCGCGGGAGACCCCGCAGCAGAAGCAGCAGCAGCAGCAGCTGCTGCTGCTGCAGCAGCAGCGGCGGCAACGGCCGCGTTTTGGCAACAGCGGCAGCAGCAGCAGTCCGTCAGCAGCAGCAGCAGTTCGTCAGCAGCAGCAGCGTTTATTTGGCATTTGATTGGCATTTGATTTGGATTTAATTGGCATTTAAATGGGATTTAATTGGCATCTAAATCGAATTTAATTGGAATTCAGTTGGAACTAAATTGGCAGAAATTGAGCGGCTTTTGAAGCAGCAAATGTTTGCATTTGCTGCGGAGTGGCAGCTGCAGCGCGGGAGGCCAGAAAGAGCGAAAATGACAAAAAGTCGGCGAAAATGCGCAAAACAAGAGAAAAACGCGAAAAATCGGAAGCTAAGTGGACTTTTATTTCATTAAGTTTCAATTAAAAGCAAAAGAAACGAAAAAAAACGAAAAAAAACGAAAAAAACTCAAAAAAATCTCCATTTGAGCTGCGAGGTCGATCCGGCGCGCAGCCAGCCCAGGTGTCTGTACACCTCAAACTGCCGCATGCAGACACTCCAGAAACTTCCGATTTTTCCCTATCTATTCTATTGTTGCGTTACTTTTACTATTTATTTTGTTATTTCTTTGTTATTCATTTAATTTAGCGCATTTTAGTCCAATTTGCTTCATTTAGAGCCACTTTTTGCCCACTTTCCATCTTTTGAGGCCAGCCACTCTATTTGCCACAAATACCACCTTCAATTACTTTTATTATCCTATTACTTAATCATCATTTTCGTTTTAAAGTTTTCACTGTTTCTACTTTATTGTTTCATTTCTTTGTTTGTTGTTTTGTTATTTTATCATTTTAATTTTATAATTATTTATTTTATTATTTCTATTTTCCTCTTCCTCAATTTGCCATTAGTACATTGCCTTATTGCTATTTTTACCATTTTATTATTACTTTCATTATTATTTCTAGTAGCAAGTATTATAACTATTATTATTATTAGTTTTGCTCTTATTGTTATTATTTATTATTATTATTATTATTGGTGTTGTTATTAGTAATATTATTATGATTATTATTAGCATTACTAATAGTATTAGTATTAGTATTATTGTTATTACGACTGTCACTATTCTACCATCGTTGTTGTTTGATTATTTTTCTATTTAAATATCCTTTTCTCATTTTTATTATTCCCATTTTATCACTTTTCTTATTTTCATTGTTTTGTTTTTTAACCAAATAATTATTTTTGCTAACTTTTCATTTAACTTATTATTATTATATTATCGTTATTATTTTGATTATGTTATTATTTGTTATTATTATTATCAATTATTATTGCTATAAATTAATATTATCACTTTCTGATTTATCATTTTAAACCACTATTGTTATTTCATTACTTTTATTTTATTAGTACATTTCATTTTTCATTACTACCATCATTATATTTTACAAGATGCCATTTTTGTTTTTAATTTAATTCGACCCGATATAATTCAATTTGAAGCAATTAATTTAATTTAATTATTTAAAAACAATTAAATTTAATAAAATTGAATTTAACTAGAAATAATTTAATCCAATTTAATTCAATTCCATTAAAAGCAATTTAATTTAATCTAATTTGAATTTCCGCTTTCAATTTTGTCTTTCTGCGGCTGGGAGATTTTCCTTTGGCTTTGTTTTCATTTATTTTAAATTTTATTTGTTTTTATTTGCTTGATAATTACTAATATTTATTATTTGTTCATTTATTATTATTTATTTTTTTCTTATTTAATATTTATTTACTTATTTATTATTTTCGATTTTGTTCTAATTATTGTTGCTGCTGCTCTACTTGAACAGGGGCCGCTACTTTGCCGCCACGTAAACCCTAAACCCTAAACCCTAAACCCTAGCCCCAAAACGCCAATTCGTAAGTTATAGAAGTTAACAATTTACACCTTTATTTATATTCATGCATTTGCGCCTATGTTTGTGTGCCATTCTAGACCCTGAACTCTAAACCCTGGACTCTAAACCCTAGACCCTAGGCTCTAAACCCTAAACCCTAAACCCTGGGCTCTAAATCCTAGACTCTAGCAGTGTTGCTTGCCGGTCGCTTATCAAAAAGAAAAAAGAAGAACAGGAGTATAAAAAAAGAAGAATCCCCAAACCCTAAACCCTAAACCGTAAACCCCGATCGGCGGGAGAGGGTTTAGTAAAACTGAAAATTAGGGTTTAGGGTTTAGGGTTTAGCGGCGGGCTGTGAAAAGACCAGCTCTACGAGACACACTGGCACAAATAAGTGAAGTAATGAATAACAATAAATCCACATCAAATAATAGAGAAATAAATTAACAACAACAAATGGACAACAACAACTTAACAACAATTAATTAATTTAATTAATTAACAATTAATTTAATTAATTAATTAAAATAAACAAAGAAACACCAAATGAAGAGATATGAGGAAACAGACAAGAAAAGCTGTTGGCCATTTACTGCCGACAAACATTTTAAAGAATAGACAACTTCATATCTAGGGTTTAGGGTTTAGGGTTTGGGAGAAGGCTGGAACGCACAAAAAGCCGCATCCAGCAGCGCGTTTGCGTTTATTGAAAAAGAAAAAATAAATTAAAACAAAACCCTTTTAAAAGAAATAAACATTTGGAATTAAATTTAAACCAATTAGTTGTACAAAAAGGCACGCATGCATGGGAGCATTCACATTTGCGGTGTATAAGCAGCGCTTTTTACATTCAGTTACATCTGTATTTACAATTCATCATTTATCACTTATTGTTTTTTATTATTCTTTATTTATTTATTCTTTTGATTGAACTGGACATCCACTTAGCCGCTTTCGCCTCTGGAGAAACAAAGACACTGCGTTTTGCGGAGGTGTGCGTACACCTGAAGCAGACGTGCATCTGCGAGGGAACTCGTGGAAAGAAACCGCTTATAAAGGAACTGTAAATGTGAATTTAATTATATAAACCAATTCTAAATGTTAATTTAAATTTATAAAAGAGAAATCCAACAAATTTAATTCATTTCCGCCAAAATAAATACAGCCCCGCCACCCGCAGCACTGGGGTGTATACGCAGCTCCGCTCGCGCAGCTGCAAAAAAGGGGCAAAGGGCGCTTCATTTGCGTTTATTTGCACAAATTTTTGCATTTATATTTATGTTTATTCATTTGTTATTCATTATTTATTTATTTATTTATTTGTCCATTTATTCATCACTTTGTTCATTTGTTCATTTCCTCCGCGCTGTAAAAGCCAATCGCCGCGTAGCCAACGGCGTTTTCAGATGCGCTGCGGATCAGCGACGACTGCAGAAATAAATTTTGAATAATATATAAATAAATAATAAATAATAAATAAATAAATAAATAAATAGTAAAATGATAAATATATAAAAGGGAATAGTGAATTGAAATAAATGAGTTTAAACGGCTTAATGAGGAGCCGTCAAAGAGAGGCAACAAAGATAGCAAAACAAAGCAGTGCTAAACTTCCATCTTTGCTACAAAACCTAAACCCTAGACCCTAAACCCTAAACCCTAGACCCTGAGCTCACTTGCGAATAAGATAAAAGAGAAGCAGAAAATAAGTCTTCAGAGCGTTGACCAGATGATTCTGCCACTCTCTCTAGCAGCTGCACGAGCACCCAGGGTTTAGGGTTTGCAGCTTTTCTTACCTCGGACCCCAATGAGACCAATCCGTTGATATTACAAACAGAGTGTCCTGAGGCCGGCAGTGAACAGAGCAGCAGCTAGCTTGCTAGCTAGCCATCCAGCTAGCTAGCTAGCCAGCTAGCTAGCTAGCTAGCCAGCTAGCTAGCTAGCTGCTGCCGAGCCAGCTACTCCGTTAGTTAGCTAGCTGGCTAGCTACCCCTTTAACTTGCTAGTTAGCTGGCTAGCTAGTCAGCTAGCTAGCTAGTTACCTAGCCAGTCATCAAGCCAGTTATTTCTGTGCCCGACGATCTGGCTGGCTAGCTAGCCAGCTAGCTATTTGTCTAGCTAGCTGCGTCGCTAGCTCTCTAGCTAGCTAGCTAGCTAGCTGTTGGGCAGCTAGCCAGCCGTTTGGTCGCCTAGCTAGCTGACAAACGGGCATGGCTCTAAACAGAGAGCCAGCTAGCTAGCTACTTCACTAGCTAGCTAGCTAGCCATTTGGATAACTAGCTATTTTGCCAGCTAGCTATTTGGCCATCTAGCCAGCCATTTTGCCAGCTAGCTATTTGGCCACCTAGCCAGCTAGCTAGCTAGCTGGCTAGGAGCTCCTGCTTGCAGTTAAATAGTACGCACAACAACTAGGTAGCTAGCCGGCTAGCTAGCTAGCTAGCTAGCCATCTAGCTAGCTAGCAGCTAGCTGGTTATTTGGCTAGATGGCCGGCTAGTCAAACAGCTAGCCAGCTATTTAGCTAATTATCAATTTAACTAGCTAGCTATTCAGCTAGCTAGCCGTTTAACTAGCTAGCCAGCCAGTCAGCTAGCTAGCTAGCTAACTAACTACTGCGCTTACTGGGTCCATGAAGAAGGGAACCAGGGTCTCCGCTGCAGCACAAATGAGCGGCAAACCCTAAACCCTAAACCCTAAACCATAGAACCGAACTGAACAAAATCAGCTACAAAAAGCTCTGCAAGAAATCGAATCCCTAGCTATCTGGCTAGCCAACTAGCTAGTTATCTAGCCAGCTGGCTGGATAGCTAGCTGGCTAGCTAGCCGGCTAGCTAGCTAGCTAGCTAGCTAGCTGGATAGCTAGCTAACTAGCTAGCTGGATAGCTAGCTAACTAGCTAACTAGCTAGCTAGCTAGCTAGGTGACTAGCCAGCTGGCTAGCTAGCTAGCTAGCTGGCTAGCCACCTACACAGCGTCTGCCACTTCAGAATGCCTGTCACGTAAAACCTCGACAGAAACCATTAGGGTTTAGGGTTTAGGGTTTAGGTTAGGGTTTGAGGCTGCGACTCACCGTACATAGACAAGTCCTCTTTAAACAGCCTCCCCACATATACAGGCACCAACAGAGTCCCTCTGCAGCACAAACCCTAAACCCTAAACCCTAAACCCTA